AAAGAACTCACATACTTATTGCAAAAATCTATTAGTTATCGAAACAAAGTACTACGCGCATGCTCCTAGGGGGATAGATTGGTAGGAAAAGACCATCGCTCGTCCCCGACCGCCACTCATAAGGAAGACAATTGGACTCTGTTTGATTTTCCTTTTTTGCGATACTCTAAAAGAAGGGGAAAAATAGAAACTGGCACTAGGCTCTAGGTTAATAGGTTAGTCCCAAAAATCATATAAAATAGCATATAAATGCATATAAAACATCCAAACTTGATAATATAATAACATGGAACAATAAAAAATTATAGATACATTGGAGATGTATCAGGGGGCACCCCATAGACACAACAATTAATCTGTTGATCTCTTAGCCGTGTGCGGTGCCCCCCTCCACCAAAATCCACCTCGGTTATGTCATAGCGGTGCTTAGGCGAAGCCCTACGTCGGTAGCTTCATCAACATCATCACCATGCTGTCGTGCTGACGAAACTCTTCCCCGAGCTCTACTGGATCGTGAGTTCGCGGGATGTCACCGAGCTGAACGTGTGCTGAACGCGGAGGTGCCGTACGTTCGGTGCTGAGGATCGGTTGATCGTGAAGACGTACGACTACATCAACCGCGTTGTTATAACGCATTTGCTTAACGGTCTAGAAGGGTACGTGGACGACACTCTCTCCTCTCGTTGCTATGCATCACCATGATCTTGCGTGTGCGTAGGATATTTTTGAAATTACTACGTTCCCCATCACCTTCCCCACCTCCGGGCGCTAAGTTCCGGCGAGCCCAGTCGCCGGTGAAGCCCCGCAGGTCGCCGTGTGCCCCTGCTCCTCCTTCTCTTTCCCTCTCTTCCTCCCTGACCATTTCTCGCGCCCGTGTCCTGCATGAGCTCGTCGCGCAGCCGCCGCCTGAATCCACCGCCTGCTGCCGTCCTGGACCTCACGTCGGATGCATCCCGCGCCGCTGCTGACTTCCCCTGCTCTCGCTACGCTCGTTCTGTTCGAGCGTTGACCACAGCCCGCTCCAAGGCGCCAAGGCCCAGCTCCTTGGAGCCCAATGTAAGCAGCACCAGCCCCTCCAGATTCGGCCCGAGACTGTTTTTTTTCGCGAACGAATTTGCCTATTTTAATCCAGAGAAACCAGTTTTGCAAGAAAAACCCCTAGACTTCATGCATATAATAACTCATGAATAATGCATCATATGTAAAAACTTTAAATATGTAAAATGCTTAGAATTTTGTCTAGTTTCATATTATGCAACTTTCATCCATGTTTAAAATGATGTTTGCATATAATTTGCTCTTATGTCATGTTAAAATGATTTATTTGATAACTAATTAACCGTAGCTCCATTTTAAATAAACTTTATATGTAATTGGGGTAGAAAATGCATAGATTAACATGATGCACTTACTTTGCATGTTTAACAACTCTAAAATTATGTTTAGGGCAGAACAGTAGCTAATTGGAAATATGCATATGAGGATTTTCCGGAATTATTGTTGTTGTTTCCGGCCTCATTTAAACTTGCCTAAATAGATAGTTTATTTATGCTTCACCCCTTGCCATGTCTAATAACATTTAATATTGTTGGGTACATAAACGAGAGAGAACTAAGTAATTGAATGTGGTGTTTCGTCATTATGCAACTCGTTGCATATTGAGCTCCACTTAATTTGTAGTATTGTTTGTTGCACTTTGCCATGTCATGCCTCTTTAAACCGGACATGCATCATACTTGATTGTGCATCATGCCATGTTTATGCTTGTGTGTTTATCATGCTGCTTGCTTCTTTTCGGGTTGCTTCTCTCGTTAGCTTCGGTTTCGGTCCGGAGTTGTGAGGATTCGTTCGACTACGTCCGTTTTCCTTCTTCATGGACTCGTTATTCTTCCTTGGGGGATCTCATGCAAGATGACCATACCCTCGATATCACTTCTATCTTTGCTTACTAGTTGTTCGCTCTATCGCTATGTCACGCTACCTACCACTTGTTTATCAAGCCTCCCAAATTGCCATGATAGCCTCTAACCTTTTTCAACCATCCTAGCAAACCGTTGTTTGGCTATGTTACCGCTTTTGCTCAGCCCCTCTTATAGCGTTGCTAGTTGCAGGTGAAGTTGAAGTTTGTTCCATGTTGGAACATGGTTATGTTGGGATACCATATTATCTCTTATTTAATTAATGCATCTATATACTTGGTAAATGGTGGAAGGCTCGGCCTTATGCCAGGTGTTTTGTTCCACTCTTGCCGCCCTAGTTTCCGTCATACTGGTGTTACGTTCCTTGATTTTGCGTTCCTTGCGTGGTTGGGGTTATGGAACCCCCTTGACAATTCGCTTTAAATAAAACTCCTCCAACAAGGCCCAACCTTGGTTTTACATTTGCCTAACAAACTATAACTTTCCCTTGGGTTTTCGCGAGCCCGAGGGTCATCTTTATTTTAACCCCCCCGGGTCAGTGCTTCTCTAAGTGTTGGTCTGAACTGAGTAGACTGCGGGGCCACCTCGGGGAAACTTGAGGGCTGGTTTTACTCGTAGGATGTCTCATCCGGTGTGCCCTGAGAACGAGATATGTGCAGCTCCTATCGGGATTTGTCGGCACATTCAGGCGGTCTTGTTGGTCTTGTTTTACCATTGTCGAAATGTCTTGTAACCGGGATTCCGAAACTGATCGGGTCTTTTCGGGAGAAGGAATATCCTTCGTTGACCGTGAGATCTTGTGATGGGCTAAGTTGGGACACCCCTGCAAGGTATAAACTTTCGAGAGCCGTGCCCGCGGTTATGTGGCAGATGGGAATGTGTTAATATCCGGTTGTAGAGAACTTGGCACTTAACTTAATTAAAATGAATCAACCGCATGTATAGCCGTGATGGTCTCTTTTCGGCGGAGTCCGGGAAGTGAACACGGTCTTGTGTTATGCTTGAGCATAAGTAGTTTCAGGATCACTTCTTGATCACTCTAGTTTCACGACCGTTGCGTAGCTTCTCATTTTACTCTTGTTTACGTATGTTAGCCACCATATTTTCTTAGCGCTTGCTGCAGCTCCACCTCATTACCTTATCCTACCCATAAGCTTAAATAGTCTTGAACTCACGGGTGTGAGATTGCTGAGTCCTCGTGACTCATGGTTACTTCCAAACAGTTGCAGATGTCGATGATACCAGTGCAAGTGGCGCAACCGAACTCAAGTGGGAGCTTGATGAAGATCTTGGTCGTTGGTATGTGTCTTTTCCGGATGATCAGTAGTGGTGCCAAGTTGGGACGATCGGGATCTAGCATTTGGGGTTGTCTTCTTTTATTTTGGTTCCGTAGTCGGACCTTAATTGTACTCTGGATGATGTATGTTTAACTTGTTATTTGTGTGAAGTGGCGATTGTAAGCCAACTCTTTATTCCTTTCTTATTCAGTACATGGGATTGTGTGAAGATTACCCCTCTTGCGACAAAACCACCATGCGGTTATGCCTCTAAGTCGTGCCTCGACACGTGGGAGATATAGCCACATCGTGGGTGTTACAGTGAACCATTGACTTAGTTCCTTAGTATTATCAGAGGGAAGGAACGACATGTCTATGCTCTCAGATATGAGAACCTAGGGAGGTTTCGCAAAGTATGTAAAAAGATTGAGTATGAATACAAGGAGTGTGGGTCAGTGATCTATGTTGATAAGATACGAATGTCTTGTTTGTTTCAGCTTCAACTTGTGGCGAATCAGCTATGGATTCGCTTCACTGGCTAAGCTGATTCCACCAGGACATACTTCAGGCAAATACAATGAAAATGACCTGAATGAATTCTAACTTCAGTGGCAAAGCTAATCCAAAATAGTTGTTTGTTTCAGATCCAACCTTTCCAAAGTTGAATATGGTCCATGAAGCTGAAACAAACAGGGTTGGAATTTGGAGATTGGTTATATGTTGATAACCCAAACAGGTCGATCTCGGTCTGACTATGAGATTAGAGGAAGTTGAGAGGGGTGGAAAGATGGGAGGATGTCGATGGAGATGGACTAAGCAACAATACAGATGATGATGATGATCTGAAGGACATGGTCAATTGCCCGTGAAGGACCCGGACCTGGGGATGCTAACAATGGTGCGGGGAAACCAAGCGATGGGATCATGTGATCTGATACATTAAGAAGCGTTTAATCACTTAAATTTTACTATAAGGAAGTGAGATAAGGGATGACTTTTGAATTTTTAGGATAAGCAACTGCTAGAGATGCCCTTAGGGTCAACATCAGTGCAACAAACCAACATTCGGTGAAAACCGATGAAAACCACGAGAAAATGATGTTTTGAACTTTAAAAAAAATGAAAAATATACGGGATGTTAAGAGGATGATGTTGTATTGCCACACAAAATTTCAAGTTAGAACACATTACGAGATGTAAGCTATGAGAAAGACAAAATTAGTGTTGAATAGTGCCGAATAGTAATGTCACTATTCAGAGCTGAATTTGTCTTTTTCATAGCTCACATCTCGTAATGTTTTTCAACTTCAAATTTTATGTAGCAATAAAACATCACCTCCTTAACATTCCACATTTTTTTCAGATTTTTTAAAACTTTAAAATATGGTTTCCACGAAGTTTAACTTTTCATTGAATATTGGTTTTCGTACGATATTCTTCCGTGATGCTAACGGGAAAGTATGAGGGTACACAATGATGATCTAGCAACAAATGATAAGAAATCGAAATTAGTCAAATAGGCAAATTAAATAGTGTAAGAAATTGAATATAGTATATCAAATAGGCAAGTAATTGAACAAGGCCGTTATTACAGAATGCAAATAGATTGCCCTACTAAACAAGCACTGCATCAATCAAATATAGAAAACGATAATCGTACCGTGCATCCCACATTTGGACTTTGCTACATATCTTTTTTGTGCAGTGTTGGACGCACCTACATTTCTGTAGACTAGTAAACGGACCCACATTCTTGGAGGCGATCACATCCTCAGCTGCTGAGTGTGGCGTGCGGCATCGCCACTCAGGCCAAGCAGCTGGCCAAATGGCGCGAGAAGGGAAACAGCCAGATTTGTATGAGCTGCGCGTCTTCTTTCCCGGACCCGAACACGCACTCCTCCTCGACGCGCATCTGCTCCATGTTGAACGCGATGAGCTTCGACGGCGTCCACAGGTACACCACCTCCCTCTCCGGGTGGAACGCCATGAACACGAAGGTCGCGGTAGCGGGGTGGCACGAGCCGCCGGAGACGAGGTCGACGACCCCCAGCTCGTGCTTCGCCACCCACTCGGACTTGCCCGCGTCCACCAGCTCCCACAGCGTGAGGCGCGAGCCGTCGCTGGACGCGTACCGGAGCCGGCCGCGGCAGTGGCCCGCGCGCGCCCGGTAGCTCACGGGCGCCGGGAGCGCGGTGACCGCGCACGCCATGGTGCCGAGGTCGATGCGAACGACGTGGCCCGAGTATGCCAGCACGTGCACGGCGCCGGCGAAGCAGTGCATGGTGGCCGACATGGCGTCGGTCTCCAGGCCGAAGTCGAGCTCGTGCTCGCCCCACGCGCCGGTCTCCGAGTCGAACACCTCGACGGAGGCGCCCCGGGGCAGCCACCCGGTGAAGCAGACCACCTTGTAGTGCGGGGAGGCGCAGGGGTCGAAGGAGAGCACGGAGAGCAGCGTCTTCCTGCGCGGCTCAGGCAGCGCCGCCCACCGGCGCGTGGTCGGGTTCACGACGTGGAACGCCGCCGGGCAGGACGCGTAGTAGAGCAGCAGGCCGTTGCAGCCGTCGATGATGCTGGACGTGGCGTGGCACGGGAAGAAGGACATGTCGTCGGCCTCCGCCACGCCGCCGCCGTCCTCGCCCGAAGCCGACGCCGCGCGCGCGTACGTGTAGGCCCGCCTCCCGCCCTCGCCGTCCCGCGGGCCGTCGTGGAACAGCACGCCGGACGTGATGAGCGGCAGCCTCCGGCGGAGGTAGTCGGCGGCGATGAGGCCCCGCCACGTGGTGGAGACGCACTGGAACCGCGCCAGCGACTTGGGCGGCAGCCGGACGAGGATCTCCGCCAGCAGGTCCTCGCCCATCTCGCCGTCCATCCCCGGTCGACGACCTCGCCCCTCCCGGAGCACGCACCGCGCGGCTGCACCCGCAACCACCACGCACCGCCTGCCACCGCACCCGAGCGCAACAGCAGCGGGCAGCGGCCACGAGCCCACGAAAGCGAGCGCGGGCGATACTTATAAGTTGTATGGCGGCCAAGACTTGGCCTCTCCGCCTTCGAAAGAGATTCTCGGACTGCTTCAAACCTGAATTAAAAGCTTTCAGTACCCTGGATATATACACCCCATCCCATGATCGGTTACGTGACGTTTCTGCGTGACAACCCGTCGGTTCACTGCTGAATCCGTTGCGTGGCCAGAGGAATCGTGGACGCGAGGCTCACATACAGTAGTGGAGTGTGATGTAGAACTGCAAAAAAGGAAGGCTTATCCGCACATCTTTTTGGGTAAAAGCGTATCCACACACAGGGGATCTACGATCAACAAGGGAAAAAAGATGACTGACGGAGACATGTATACGTGGCACCTCAGCTCCGTTTCTAGTTTGTTGCTTTGGGTAGAAGCAAGCAAAGCTCACCGTTAATCTTCTTGCATAAAAATAACCGTGGTAGGGCTTTGCGTACGTGCTGTGAAACGCAATCATGAATCAACGGGCGCGGTGCGATAGATTTGTCAAAAGGGCGGTGAAGTCGCGCGATCCCCTAAAATTAATCCACGCGACACCGGCCCACGCTTGCGAGCTCCTTTCCGCTTGGACTTGCGTTGAAGCAACTCTTCAACCCGTCGTCATGCGCGCGGTGATGCGTCCACGTAACAAGTTGGGTGGATTGGACGGCCGGCGAAGCTGCCACTTGGACGTGGATTCCCGTGTCAGACTTGCAACTAGCATACATCATACGCATGTCTCTTCTCTCTCAAATAAGCAGAAAGAAACAAGATGTGAGCTAAAAGTACGGGTATGCTTAACCCTTTTCCGTTACTGCTAATGACCAATAATCTATGTATCTGTGAGATAAGATGCATGATCCGGGAGCTGATCGATTAAGGTGCTTCGAGGCCGAGGAATCGGTTGCTTGGACGCCAATGGTGGTTGGGATACGGCTTTCCCGCGCTAAAGCTCAAGCGGTCGCCGTCGATCCGGCCAAGGAATCTGGACGACCGGCGGGCAACTAGGCATGTAGATGTAGTACTACTACTATCTGCTTTACTATTGGTGACAGAGAGCAGCGGATTGGTGCGTCCGTCCGGCTGGCCGGCGGACGGAGAAAGCAACCAACCAAGTCCTCGAGTGCGCGCGCGGTGGCCGTCGTAGTAGTATATCGCCACCCTACGCCGGCATTGTTGTGTGGACGCCACTCAATCTTCTTCTCGCTGGTTCTTTCCGCCGAACGGAATTTGGTATAGCGCAACGATGCTGACATGCATGATCCATGTTGGTCAGCTGCTGCCGACGGATAGGTGTGCGTGTGCCTGAATGTTCCTTGGAGTGTGCAACTTCCCTGCCCGGACATTCTGGTTCCTGGTACAGTGCGAGGAGGCGATCATACATCACTTGCTGCTAATGTCATGCATGCACATCACAGTTACACGTGGTCCTGATGATGACTGAAGGTTGGGGGAGACGTGTCAACCGAAGGAAAACCTCTTTATCACTTGGCCGTGCACCTCACAAGTCACAATTACGTGTAGTCGTGATGATGGCTTTGCACCCTACATAGATTCTTCTCTCCGAAACCATGTGACATATGTGGTAACTGGTAAGCAATCTAAAAGATTCTCCTTTCTGAAGAGTAAGGTCCAACTTTTTTCTTTTGAAAAGGAGGATATACCCCGACCTCTACATACGGACGATGCATGCAGCTATTTTATTGATTATTCACCAAGACCTTACAAAGATAATACATTAATAAGCCTAAAGCCACCATCTTGACAACACATGTCGCTATTCCTATCCCCTTGATGAAGGGTTGTCGAATGTCCGAGCATAATACCAAACAGACATCGCACCAAAGCTAACATCTAAAGTCAGATGTCCTATCAAGCCACTACCTAGATAGGGTCACACACCGGTCCGGCGCACTTCCAGTGAGCACCACATGTGCACGCTGCAAGGGTCATCACCTCCATGTTCCATTGATCCATCCTCAGAGCAAAACTGATGCATCGACCTAGCCAAGCCTCTCTGCCATCGACGCCACCACGACGCCAGATAGCGTCGCCCTCCTGCGCGAGTCCGTCATCACACATCGGACTACGAGTCTCCACAGCGCCACGCCACCAAAATACGCCACCGTCAATGTGTAGGATGGAGAACCGGTCCACCAAAGATGTTGTCTACTGGTCCCTCGAGCCCGTGCTCCAAGAATGACGCCTCCAAGGGGGAAACGACACAAGAATGTCGCCGTCACCCGATCTACTGATCAAGGGTTTCCCCCGGAGGTAGCAGATAGTGGCCTGAAACTTCTCAACAGCGACGCCTTCAAGAAGGAAACGACACTGAATAGTGCCGCCAACGCCGGCCTTGACAGCAGCCGAGAACAGGTTTTCACCCAGATCTGTTCCAATAATCTCCATCAAATGTCTTGTGCACGTGTCGTCCAACACCATGACCGTCGCATCGCCCGTCACGGATCCACAACAGCCGAGAACAGGTTTTCACCCAGATCTGTTCCAATAACCTCCATCAAACGTCTTGTGCACGTGTCGTCCAACACCACGACCGCCGCATCGCCCGTCGCGAATCCACAGCCGTCGACACATCGTTCGTCGTCCCGGGGCCGCCGCCCCGGGATCCAGCACTCCTGCCCGCCGGAGCTCGCAACCCCACCATGGAGCCACTGAGCCCCACCTCGCCGTCGCACGCCGGCTGCCGCAAACCAACGTCCGCGACTCCACCATGGAGCCGCCAAGCACTGCCTGCTGGCGCGGCGCGCACCACATCGAGGGCCAATGAGGGCGGAGAAGCTAGATCTGGCCAAGCTTGACCGGGATCTGGCCTCTCCCCGCGCTGACGCCGCTCCCGCGGCCCTGCATCTCGCCCGCGCTCATGGTGACACAGACAGTGCGCGCGCAACGCCGCGAAGAGGGGAGAAACAGCCCCGCCGCCACCTTCCTTGGGGCATGCGCGAACTTCGTCGACCCCTCCAGCGGCGGCGAAGCGAGGGAGCGGGGGCCTGGCGGGAGCGGCGCTAGGTTTCTTGGATCGGGGGAGGAAGAGATGAGGAAGCGAGGGAGCGGGGGCCTGGCGGCGGCGGTGTTGCGGCGAGGTTTCTTCAGCTAGCTACCGGGGGATCCACACACACACTCCTGGGTCCAACTAGCATCCTGGGTTCTGCATATTCGGATGCACACAACTATAACTTCATTACAGACTTACAGTTGCTCGGTCCCTATTAGATGTCGTCACCTCAAGCACATCCACCAAAGTTTGTCGGCCACTTGGGCTGCCTGTCCTACAAAATATTTGGGTCTTTCTCTTTCAGTTTGGCAACTCAAAACAGTGGATTTACCGAAAAAGGCTTTCGTCCCGCTTTATATATAAAGCAAAGATCAACATCATCCGATACAAACACACGCCAACACCACACACACCGAAGGCAGGATACAAAAGCGTTGAGCGCAGCAACACCACCCCTAGCACACTACCACGAAGAGATGAAGCCGCTTACAACGAACCGTGGACTCCAAGGCGGCGCCTTCAGGAAGGATACGACACCGGAGCGCCGCCACCGCCCGATCCAAGGATCAGAGTTTCCCCCAAAGCCACACGACGGGCGGTGAGAGCCGTGACGACGCCTTCAAGAAGGGAACGAGCTTCACCGTCGCCGGTCCATCCGAAGATAGAGCAGGTTTTCACCCCGGCCACCACTCACCGCCACCGAACGCTACACCCCAGCTACCACGCCGCCCACACGGCCATGGTCACCGGGCAGCGCCAAGCCACGACCTCTGCCCAAGAGCATCGTGCACCGCCACCAGGGCCGCTGCCCAGGTATCCAAGACCTTGACACCACCGCACCCGAGACCCACCGCTACCCCAACCAAAGAGACGAGCAGAAAAGGATCCGCCTTTGCACCCCTAGCCCACCCCCAGCATTGAGACCCAATAGGTCGGCCAAAACTGGCATCCATCGACCCAACCTGTAGCCCGGAGCGCGTGACGAGATCGGTCCTGTAGCACCGTGGGGCGGGGACGAGGTAAGTCCTGCTGCACCGTGCGCGAGACGAGCTCGGTCCTGCAGCACCGTGCGCGAGACGAGCGATGAACCGCGGCTAGGAAAGGGCCAGCCCTTCGAAGGGAGCAGCGACCGAGCGCCGAGGAGATGAAGTGAAGGCCGAAACGGTCCGATCACAGACAAGCCGACACTGGAGAAGCCGGCCGCCGCCGCAAGCAGATCCGCCAAGGCACCATGAAGCCGCCATGACATCGGAAGTCCACCACCGCCGGACTTCCACACGTCGCCGCCCACAGCCGGAGCAACAGCCACGCCCGGCCGCTGCCCTACCCGCATCGCCCGGCGAGCTCATAGCGCCGGAGCCGCCGGGCACGCACCGCCGCCGCCAGCCGACCCCCACAACCAGATCCGGTTGGATCTAGCAGGGGGCCGACCGCGCGCCACCTCCCGAGACGGGAGCTCCGCAGCTGCCCTGCCACGCACGAGACCCAGGGCGCCGACGCGCCGCCACCAGTCGGCCGCCCCGCGAGCCCGCCGCCAAGCTGCTGAACCCTGGGAAGTCCAGCGCCGCAGCTCGAGGAGGCCGCCCCACGCCGGCGTCCCACAAGCAGGGGGGAGAAGGGCCCCGCCACCGCCGCGCCCAGCGGGCTTTGCCCGACGGAGCTCGCCGACGATGGCGGGGGGTTGGGGAGGAAGGTGGGTC